TCACTGATCTCGGCAGTCCTGAGGCTGCCCCGTGGCCCCTCCCACTCACCTCCTCCCGCCTGTCTCCGGGGTCCTGACCCCTCACCATGGTCACCATCCCAGAGAGAGGACTTGCTGGGCTTGGCACCTGGCTTATGTGCCCCCCACCAAGGTGGCCTGTGAGCCCCCCCTCTGTGCATGGACCCAGGCCATGCTTGTCCCTGGTACTCACATGTGTGAAGGTGTCTGTGGCTGCATGTGCCCGTGTGTGCCCACGTGTGCCTGTGTGTGTGGACTTGGTGAGCAGCCAGCTCTCAGCTCTCCCCAGTCGGGCAGCTCCTCAGCTCCGTCAGGCAGCCAGGCCCTCCCTTCCCTGCGGGTCTGGGTGCTCCTTGAGGACGAGGCCTCCACCTGCCACTGTCCTTGTCCCTGTCAGTGGCTGGTGACACCCAGCACACACGGGTCCCTTGGGTGGGGCTAGAGCAGACCATGCATTTGCAGTCGTGTCTTCCTAGTGAGCTTCTCCTAACACATTTTTGTGTGTAACAGTCTTTCTTGAACTCCTTCTTACTTTTTGGCAGCTAACTATGCAAATTAATGGAAAACGAAAGTCACTTTTGTCACCCGTGACTCCGAGGCTTTAGGTGCTAAAACTCTTTTCTGGGCTGTGAGCATGGTAAGAACGGTCATGCATTCGATGACAACAGCCAGCCTGTTGTCACTTGGGTGAGTGACCACCGCACGGAAGAGCACGTGAGGTTCCACTGGGAAAGTGACTCCTGTGTGGGCAAGGCCCGTTTTCTCACCGTGAGGCCGTGTTTCCAGAGATGAGCTTTCAACAGCCCAGAGCGCAGCAGCAATTCTGTTTTCTCCTTCCTTTCTACAGGGGGAAGCACTCTGTAGCAGCCAAGGTTAAAAGGTTTAAAATTAAGCCTGTGAATTCTTTCCTAGGTCAGTGCCTGCAGTCACAGGGCCAACGGGCCGAGAGGCTGTGCCAGGTACCGGCTCAGCGAGCCCCTCCCTGTCCGTGCCGGGGATTTCCTGTGTTGCAGCGGCTTCGGGAGCCGTGGACCTAAGTGTCTAACCTCTGGGCGGCCACCCAAGGCTCTGCTGACACCCAGGAGGTAGCTGTTGGCTCCTGGTTAATCTTACACCTCGGGGAGGCTCCAAGGTTAACTCTGCCCAGTCATAAAAGGGCAGGGGAGGTTTTTTTTAAGTCTGGTCCATTTCTCTGCTCAGTATTTTTGCCTTTTATGTGTCTCAGATATATTTTTGTCGAAAACCCGGAGCTGCGGATTTTGTGCCCCGTGAGTGCAAAACATCTGCCTGTCACTGTCCTCTTGTGCCACCAAGTGACACATGGAATTGTCTGCCTGAGAAACAGCCGGGTTTCATTGGTCGATTCATGGACACGGGCGAACATGAACTTCAGAGAAGATTCCAGAAGCCGCTGGGATGCAAGTCATGGAGAATGTGCTGTCCGAACACAGCAGCAGCCGGGGTGGGAGCGGCGCACACCCCACGTAACTCACGCACTCGGGAGAAACCTCGGCGCAAGCCACGTCAGCACTTCAGCCCGATCACGTCACCTTAGCGAGGCAGCGGGACGCGAGGATGAAAGCACGGGCCGTTTGCTACAGAGGGGAGCTGGAGCTCCTGGCGCACTGTGTGGGCACCAGCGTGTATGTGCGTGTGTGTGTGCACGGGCACTAGAGAGGACTCAGCTCTGACATCCAGCTTTGGGGAGGAATCACGTGAGACACGCGTGTAAAGCAGGCAGACACGGCTGATTACATTGGCCACAAGGTCGGGCTCCCCGCACGGTGACGGACTGCAGAGGCCGTTGTACCTCCCGCTTGCTGCCCTGGAGCCCAGGGTGGGAGGGCACCTTCACTTTGTGGGCAGAGTGCGCGGAGTGTGATTTGTGACCAGGGACGGAGTGAGACTGCGGCCATGCAGGAAATCAGTCTACTCACACTCGGGGGCACGGGAGCCCCTGGCCTGCACCCTTTGGCTGTCCCGGCGGGGTCATACCCTCGGAGGGGTGCAGAGGGCCGCCGAGAAGGTCGGGCAGGCTCTGTGTCTGCGGAGGTGGAGTTTGTGCCTTGCTTTCTGTGCGTGACTCGGGGTCCTGCCCCAGCACCCAGGTCTGGAGCTCTGACCACAGGGGCCGGAACGGGCCCGAGAGCAGGGGCCAGGGCCCCCTCTGGAAGTCTCCTCCGGAAAAGAGCATATGGATGTGGAAGTTCTGCCGTCTGTCTGGCCCCCTATCCGTGCCCCTAAAAAGTGTTCGGTACTTCTGTACCCCCAGTTGGAAGGCCACGGCCTAGAGGGCCCCCTCTGTCCTGGCCCCCTGGTCCCCCAGGGCCGCCTGGCCCTTGGTGCAGCTCTGCCACCACACCGGCACCTGTGTCATATGCGTTAGATACCAGTGCACCTCCAGCCGCGGCCAATGCCAGGGAGGCAGTGGGGGACAGGGACATAGCGCTCTTTTTTCTAATCCAGGAAATGTTATTAAATAATAACTACACTTAGTTTAAACAAAAAGAAAAAACCCTGGCCGGGTGGGTCAGGTGGTTGGAGTGTCGTCTTGTACACCCAAAGGTTTCGGGCTCGATTCCTGGCCAGGGCACGTACGGGAGGCAACCAGCTGACAATTGTTTCTCTCACATCAGTGTTTCTCTCTCTCTCCCTTCCTCTTCCTCTAAAATCAATACATGTATCCTCAGGTGGGGATTTCAAACAAAGAGAAAAAGAAGAAAAAGAAAAGAACGTTGAAATCCGAAGAGCTCAGTAAGAAAAGCCACCTGTGTCCCCACACCCAGAGACCACCGCTCCTGACTCCTCCGAGAGTCACCGCTGCCATTCTTCATATTTTTCATCCTCAGATACTTCCCCGTGTAACTGAAAACCCTTGCTACGACGTCAGGCTGTCCTGGGCTGAGTGATGGCCCCCCAGGCGCCCTGGATCCTGTGAGGAAGTGGCCTTACAGGGCAAAGGGGCCTCTGCAGATGGGATTAGCTTCAGGATCTTGGGAAGGGAGGTGAGTGGGACAGAAGGAGGCAGGAAGGGCAGAGAGAGGAGAAGCAGAGATGAAAGCAGAGGCCAGAGAAGGAGAAAAGGTCACCCCATCGGCTTTGAAAGACCGAGGGAGAGGCCAGCAGCCAAGGAGGGCCGGCACCTCTGGAGCCTGGAAAAGGCAGGAGACGGATCCCCCCTCCTCCTGACCCCCCCGGGAGGACCCAGCCCGCCGACAACTTCGTTCCAGCCCACGAGCCTGACTGTGCAGTTCCGACCTGCAGAATCCCACGATGATAAATGTGGGTTGTTTGAAGCCAACCAAGTCGGGCTGATTGATTCCAGCAGCTACAGGAAATGAATACACACAGTATTATGTAAGTTCCATAAAATATGCCTCAGTAGTTACAAAAACTCACATAAAAAGACCACATTTAAGGAGAGCCAAATAAAACAAAAAGTAGTTATTTGTCATATCCCAGTAAACTACAAAGGCTGCCAGTACGTCTTCGAGAATGGAGTGGACTTGATCTTGGCATTTCTCTGGCCACCTACAATGACTTTTGTTTGTGTTGCATCATTAAGGGTGTTGCAACACCATGCCCTTGCTGACAGCCGCACCATCCGAGCCCAGCAGCTGCGTTCCCAGTGCCTGAGAACCCGGGGCTCTAGCCAGCTCCTCGTGCAGTGGGGTGACCGCAGAAGAGACGGAGACCTGGGACCCACGCCAGGAAGGCATTTGCATGAGCTGGGGCAGGGAGGGTGAGGGAGGAACCTCCTCATCCCTCTGCATCTGTCCCCATGTCGCCTGGGTTCCTGCAGTCCCCAGAAAATGTAGCCACTGGAGACGCAGGGTCTTTTGCCACGAGGAGCTGTTGGGGAGCCCTTGACACCTTGAGGAAGCTCCCCAACTTCAAGGGTGCTCCCCAGAGCAGCCAGTGCCCTTGCAAAGCTGAGAGAGACTTCATCAGCACCAGAGCTGAGATGGTGGGGGATGGGGGGTGAAGCGAGTTTCTCCTCCCTCCCCACCCCCCGCAGAATATGAAATTCCCCAGGAATGCTGTTTTTTGTGGTAGCACGGGATACAGCTGTTAGCATTCCTGCTGCTGCTGCTTACAAGAAAAACACAATTTATCTGCCATAGCCTGTAAAGCAGACAGGAACGTCTCATGCGGGCCATGGAGAAAGAAAATGTTCCCCGCCCAGGTCTGATATTTTGTGGGGTGTCCTTCAGGGCCCTGCGGGGACCGCCCGGCCTCCTGATGGGACTCGGAGCAATCTCAGAGCGATTAGGATGAGATGGGGAGGCTCTCTCCTCGCCCTGGAACCAAGGAGCCTCGGCCCATGGATGGGGCTTGTCTCGGTTCGTTTGTGCTGAGTCTGATGTGTTGGCGTCACCCGGCCATCTTTTCCTCCCTGCAAGGCGTCTTCGCCAGAAGTGCCCGGACCCCGGCTTCTGCGGCGGGAAGTCTGGTTCTGCCAAACGGAAACCAGTCCTCACTGTGTGTGTCTCTGGCCAGCACGTCACAGAGGCGGCTTCTGCGCCTTCTTCCAGTCTGAGGTATTCAAGGTCATTTTTTTTTCATATCGTGACTTTTTCATTTTTCCCCAGATTGATTGGGTTAATGGGCACTAACACTGCATGAGTTCACACTGTGTACAAGGTACTGACTGGATACACGTGTGTGGTGCAGAATGACGGCCACCACGTCCCGTCACATACGAGGCCTGTCCGGAAGGTATCCAGCCACTCACTATGAAACATAGAGACATTTACTGAGGAAGAGACAAAATACAAGAAACACTGTACAACAGGACAATGACACCTTGGTCCCCTTCAAAGTAGGCACCTTGGGACCTCACACTGTTCTCCCAGTCACCATCAGCTGCCCCGTCATATTTTCCTGAATCTTATCGATGGTCTGAAATCTCTTCCCTTTCAAAGGTGATTTTCGTTTTGGGAAAAGCCAGAAGAGGCAGGGTGCCAAATCTGGGCTGTAGCGGGGCTGAGTCACCTGGGTGATTTGATGTTTCGCCAAGAAACTCTGCAGGAGACATGATGATGCATGTTTGCACCCTGACCAACCTCTCCCCACATCCCTCCCCCTCCCCCGACACCCCCTCCCCGCCCCAGCAGCTCCTGGTAACCACCATTTTACTCACAATGCCAGCTCACAAAACACTGGACACGTTTTCCCTCGAAGAACCAAAATAGAAAGTGTTCTAAAAATAAATGCAAGAAAGATCCAACTTCTGGGATAAAATTTAAGAACGAGCCTCCGCATCTACACAAAGAGACTCTTCTCTAGAAGCGCTCCAAGCCCACCCGCGTTGCACGCAGACTGGAGCTCGGGTTCCGTTGAGCCTGACCGGCAGGGAGGGTGTCCGGTGTCCCCGGGGCTCTGCGCGCCCCGTGAGCAGGCCTCCCCCGGTGTGTGGGCAGCGGGTGGTCAGTCACCGCAGGGGAGCCTCGGTCCCCACACTTCGTTCGTCCTGGAAGACTGTTCGAGGGGCGATCTGTGCGAAAACGGGCTCGTGCGTGCGCATCCTCTCCTGCGTCTGCCGCCCGAGAGGCCCACGACCGACCGACCGATCGTGCAGGCGTCATGATGCACGGAAGGGTTGTCGGGTCGAGAACCGAAGGCTTGTTCGGCAACCGAGACGTTTCCCCGCAGAGCAGCTGGGGGGAGAACCGCATCGTCAGAGACGGGAGACGACGTGGGACAACTGAGGTTTGACCGGGCCGACAGCTCTGTGCAGCTCCCACCATTTGTTCCGGATTTCGAGCCCGTTACTCCTGCCTCCGTCTTTTCCGTTCGACACTGACGCGTCGTTAGCGAGTATGGGCTCTAAGGTGCTGGTTTTCCACCAGGCGACTTCGCCCCCAGGCCAGGGGACCCTGGGCAAGGCCCGGAGACGTACTTGGTTGCAGCAGCCGGGGTGAGGGGGCCGCTGGCACCCAGTGGGTCGGGGCCAGGGACACTACTGGACACCGTCCTGGGCGCTGGGTGGCCCCACCGGCGGGCGTCGGCGGTGCCAAGGGTGAAGCCGTGTCCTCAGGGGAGGTGACTGGGGGCGGCAGCTCCCTCCCGTCCCTCGACTTCCCCGTTTCCTTCAGGGGCCTCATTTTCCTCTTCATCTTGGCCTCGCTGCTTGACGTCACAGGTGACCCTAGGTTGTCTGACCTCTTCTCTTCAAGGAGATGATGGGATCCAGCTGGGACTTACTGACCCTGAGCAGGGCCCCCTGAATTCCAGACGAAGATGGACTTGACCACATGTGTTCTGTCCACGCCTGAGACAGGCACCCGCCCCCACGCCAGGACTGTCACCCGCACAGCCCGTGTCAGTACCCGGCAGAACCGGGCAATGGGGGCCGGGGGAAAGCTCCCTGGCAGGGGTCGTTGGGGGGTGGCCAGAATCTACCCCAAGTGTCCCCTGGCCCTCGTCCACTGGGTCTCCTTTCCACTTTAGCCAAGCTGGACAGAACTTGTCCCCGCGGCACAGGAGGCCCAAACAAGTCGGGGTGTTTCCTAGGAAACACCAAGGAAGAAGAAAGAGCAAACACTTCCAGAACATGCCCTCAGCTTAGACACACCCCAGCAGCACCCCCCCACCCCCGCCCCTGCAGAGCTAGGCCAGCTTCATGCAAACATGTGTCTCCGGCGGTCAGTTGAGAAGGGGTCGCCGTCTCAGTCCCTCCTCATGCCCGCCCTGCCCTGCGCTGACCTTTGCTGACTGCTTCTTCCCCCCTCCAAGTGTGAAGATGCAGGTTGGACCCTCTCCTCCCCTCCCCTCCCCTCCCCCTCCCCTCCCCTCCCCTCCCCTCCCCCTCCCCTCCTCTCTCTACCTGTGCGGTGGCCTGGCACCTCGGGCGGTGAGAAGAGTCTGCTGCTGGCCACTGGCCTGGGCTCCCTAGCTCCCTCCTCTTCCTTTCTCCCTGACTGACCTCTCCGCTGTCAGAACAGCAGGCCCCTGCATGTACCTCCAGCAAGAGGGTGCTCGCCGTGCACCAGAGGGTTCTCCCCTGTTGCTTTGGGGCCCCTGCTCTCTTTCAGAGACCCTGCAGTGTGGGGGGCTCCCCTGAGGGAGAGCGGGCTAGACCCCACCCGAGGCCGGGGGCTGCGTGTCAGTCTGGAGCCGGCATGGCGTAGGCACTAGGCGCTCGGCGACGCCTCGCCGAGGGCGGGCCAGAGCCCAGCTGGGCGAGTGTTGGAAGCAGAGCTTCCGTGAGGCCTGGTGGACCCTGCCCTGTGGCCTGGCTTCTGTTTGCTCTGCCGGGATCCGTGGCCGTGGGGACTTGACCCCATCCCTCATGGTCAGAGCACAAACTTGGAATGTGCGTCACGAAACATAAATTCGGTGGCCCCTGTCTTGGGGGCTTTCTGAGTTCTCCGCACGAGTTTGGGGAAGAGAAATGTTCGTTGGCCTGAAAAATCCCTGGAATTTCCTCAGCGAGCCCAGTCCACTTCTGTCCACGGTCCTGGGGAGACTGCTGAGCACGGAGGCGCTGAGGGGGCTTCTGTGGGAGCTCCCCACCCTCCCTGACCACAGAGGAGGCTCTGGAGACAGCTTCCAGAGCAGGCAGGCAGCACGGGCGGGGCGAGGCGGCCAACACAGGGAGAGGCCGGGACCCAGGGCGCTGCCCTCCGTGCCCCCAGCTGCCGGCCTCAGGCCACGCGTGCTCCCCGCTGTTAGCACGGGAGAGGCCTGGTGTCCTGCCCTGGGGCCCAGCACACGCCTGAGCCCGCAGAGGAGCGTGTGTAACAGGTGGGACTCTGGCTCCTGAGCCCCTCCAGGGTGGGAGCAGGAGCAGGGTGTGCGAGCCCTGCGCACTTGCTGCGTCACGGCCATCCCCGCAGGCCGAGGCATTCCCCAATCCACAGCTCTCTCTTGGGGTCCCTCCCCAGGGCCCTCTCCACCCCACCTGGCCCCTCCCTCCCAGCCCTGTTCCCTCGCTCCCCGTAAACGTGCTTTTCTCCCCAGACCCTGCTGACCCAGGCGGAGGGGAGCCACACATCCCTGGCCCCGGTGCCAACCCAGAAAGGGAGGGAGGCTAGCAGGTCTGCACTTGAGATAGACGTGGGCTGGGGGACGAGGAGGGAGCCTCTTCTCCCCAGGCAGGAGCAGTGAGGGCTCCTCCCTCATCCTTCCGCGGTGGCTCTTTGCTGAGCACCGACGGTGTGGATGCGGGTGGCTGTGGGCAGACCCTGTTGTGGCGCTGGAGACACAGAACCAGGGTCCTGTGTGGAGCCGGAGGCCTGGGCAGAGGCAGAGCCTGTGGGTGTGAAAGAGACGAGAGTGGGGCAGGGCCCCTCCGAGCAGAGACCAACTAGAGGACAGAGGCTGTGCCCTCAGGTACGGTGGGGGGTGACGGGAGAGGACAGGTGAGGGCAAGGCCCCCTGGCCAGCAGGCCCTGTGCAGGTGAAGGCCCTGCGGGAGGAGCAGAGGGCAGGGCAGAAGATCTGGGCTTGCTGCTGGTGGTGCGGACTTTCCAGGTGGGAGTGACGCCTGGGGTCTTGGGTGTTGAGGGGCAGATGCAGGGCAGAGGGAGGAAGGTAAAGGCTGGGGGGACGGAATAACCGCGAGGAGAGGCCAGGGTTCTCAGCGCCGCTCCTTCCCGAGGTCTCGTCCCCACCCCTGCCCCACCCCACATAGCGGGGCCGCCCACATCCCAGCCTCCCGGGCTTGTGGGTGCTCCGACACCTCCTTGGGTGTCCCGCAGACGCTCAGCCCCAGTCCACCGCACAGCGTCCCAGGTGCCCTGTCCTGTGCCTGCAGCCCCGGGTGGCCAGTGGGTGTGAAGGACACGGCCATCGTCCTGGAGCCTGGAAGTGCTTCTGAGGCCCTGAGCGTGAGGAGTTTGGAATCAGCAACAAGGGTCTGAAGATGCCAGACAGGGTGTGTCTCGTGGGAGCGGCGGCACCTCTTGGGGTCTCCAGTCCCAGCCTTTGAGCACGGCTCACGCTCCGTAGGTTACAGGCGGCAGACAGCCGGCTGGAGAGAGGCCCCCAAGGAGACACGTTCACACCCTCACCCCTCCTACGGGTGGATGTGACCTCCTCTGAGAGCTGTCTTTGCAGACGTCATTCATTGAAGGATCTGGGCATGACGTCACCCTGGGTTTAGGGTGGGCCTGAAATCCGGTTACTTCTGTGCTTAGAAGAGAAAGGAAAGGAGACTTGAGCCACGTGACGCAGAGGAAACGGCCACGTGGAGGTGGAGGCAGGGATCAGAGGGCAGCATGGGGCTCTGGGAAAAGGCAGGAAGGACCCTCCCTCGGCACCTCCAGATGGAACCAGCCCTCTTATTTTAAGCCACTCTGTCCCTCTGTGGTGCTTTGTTACAGCAGGAAAGGGCCGGAACCTGCAGATAAGGCCTGCCCAGGAAGACAGCTCCCACCGTTTGTGAATGAGAGTCCTCACCCCCTTTACTGGTGCGACTCTGTGCTTCCTTCGCTGCTCCTTTGAACTGGCTGGGACGCCTCACTGTCCCCTCACCGAAAAGGAGTTAAGTGGCACTGGTAACATGCGCTTGTTTTCTGCCTGTGTGAGAGTCCCGATTTTCTGCTCTGTGAAGATGATCTTTTAACATGAATGGTTTGGGGATTGCGAAATGGAAACATCTGGATGCAGAGCCGGTCTCCTGGTGGCTGATCCGAGTGCTTGGAGCGACTGGTATTTACTCGTGATTTAAGAAAATAAATAAGTCGAAGTGCTTTTGGCGACGTGGTGGAGCCCCGAGAGACACGCCAGCCTGAAACCAGAAGGAAGTGACCCCTGCCAGCGAGTTGGTTCAGGTCTGGTGAGGCCCCGGATGTGGGCCCCCAGGAGGAAACACACACGGGAGCCTCAGGAAATGGCAGGGCACCAGTTTGTCCGGGGGGCTGGAGGCAGGAGACCGCGTGCTTTAATGATGCAGTAGCCCGCCCGGTGAGGTCATAGGGCAGGAGGCCCTCAGGCCCACTCCAGGACCTCCGTAGCAGGGCAGTGGGTGCGGGGCCGACGGCCAGTCTGCGTCCCCTGCCGGAGCACGGTGGGGCAGTTCCCTGCGTCCCCGGGAAGCCCACCGGTGGCAGTGCGGGGAAATCAAAGCTGGGGCCCCGGGCCGTGGGCCTGATGGCCATGGCCCTGATGGCCGTGGCCGCTGCACCTGTCCAGCCCCTCGCCAGGCAGCTGGAGGTCCGAGCAGCCTGCGGCCAGGCCCCAGACCCGCCTCGCCCTCCCACCTCCCATCTGGCTCTTTCTCTCTCCCCACACTCAATGCTGCTGAAATCAGAAATGGCACCGACAACAATAACAAAGACAATAATAGTCATTCTGGAGGGCGTGGGTGGGAGGCTGAGCTCGGAATAGCGCTGTGGGCCTCCCGGCACTAACCTGTGTCTCCTGCTGAGCTTCGCCCTGTCCCATCCCTCCCCACTCACCTCCCAGCTGCAGACCTAGTTGTCCCCATCCACTCACTACACAGATGCCACCCGAAGCCACGGACAGCGTCTTTGCACCGCCTGCACTGTTCGGGAGACACTGAGGCCCAGCGGGGTGCACGGCGCCACAGAGGGACCAGCTGCACTGACTCGGCCCCCATTTGTGCAGAGAGGGCTCTGTTTCACAGCTGTCTGCAGGTGGCTGCCCGAGCATTAATGTGGCACCACTGTTTCTATTTCCTCCCCTCAAACTGCACACCTGCTCTTTTTCTAGACTTTTGTGAAGGGGTTTTCCAAAGCTAGACGGTGCATTCAGCCCCAAGGCTCGGATGGTGGGCATCTGTGGTGAAGACCAGCAAACAGACTTGGAGAACATCCACTCCCTCCCTCAGTCGTTTGTTCCTGGGTCGGTTTGTTGCGGGTCTGTTCATTCATTCATTCATCCATCCATCCATCCATTTGTTCATTCAGTGCTGTGTTTGTTCCTAATGCTGTCGCGGCTGGGCATCAGGAAGGCACAGACTGACGCCCAGAACCACTACCTGTGGCCCGGCCAGCTGACTCAGACCCTTCAGGGCAGACAGCTTGGACACAGTTGCTACCTGGGGATGCAGCTTGGTCTGCACCAGGGCTGTCACCGGGATGATGTTGACCCACGCCATCTGGGCTGTCACTATGGGGCAGGTGCCGCTGGCCCACAGAGAGTGGAGGCCAGCGTGCGGCTCAGCCCCAGGACAGAAGGACGCAGCCCACAGGCCACGGTGTGAGGGACAAGCCCTGCCCCGGACAACGCAGGGCTGAGGGCCCGAGACTGCGTTTGGCTTGCCAGCGTCCCTGGCGTCGCTGCCAGGTGTGAAGTGACCCCCACCCCCACCCCGTCTGTGACCCACGCACCCAGCAGTCCCCCCACGAGCCCACTTCCCTCCCCTGTCAGCCCTGGCGCAGTGCGCTCTCCATCCACGCCTGCGACTCCCTGGAGCAGCTGCTGTCCGTCCCCACCCCGTGTCTCTGGCCACCCTGCTGGGCTTTCTGTCCTCTCTCGTGGGACATGTGATACGTCAGAATGAGCCTCAAAGGGTAAGGGTACCCCTCAAAGGGTAGCAAGGTTGTCACGGGTGCAAGGCGGCCAGGCAGTTCCTCATCTGCTCCAGTCACCACCCACAGTCTGGGAAGGTTGCCAGGCCTGGGTGGCCCACTGGGCCCAAATTGTCACTCTGCCTGTTGTGGATGGAGGTGATGGGGTCCTGTCCTATCAGTCACCATTGGAGTCATGGGAAGAAGGCTTTGTCGGGGAGATGGGGCTTCTGGGGTCCTGGAGCACCTGGGGGTTGTGCAGGAGCAGGAGGCAGAGGCGGGGCAGGTGAGGGGACACTTGCTGGGAAGGCGCTGCCCTATGGGCCTCCCAGACAGTCTCGTCCTGCAGGGGGCACAGATCCCTGCAAATCTGGGGAGACCGTGCAGCTGGAAGGTTCTTGAGGCCGGACCAGGGAGGCAGGGATGAGGCCCAGCCTTGGGAGGCCCACCTGGAGGGGTCCCCGGGCCCTCCTCCTGCTCACACAGGGGCGAATCCCCCTGGGCCCACAGGCGACGTGGCTCTTAAAGGGTCATCCTGGGCATGTTGTTCTGAATCTTGCTTTTTCGAATGTGCCCAGGTCAGGT